ATTCCAGATTTTCAAATAGTTGTATCTCGACCAAATATTGTCCTATCCTAACAAACCATACATCAATGGAAAGCTTATTTATTCAGCTTTCAGATGATGTATAAATCTCAATTTTGAAAAATTGACCCTTATGACTGGTTTTGTGGTCCAGGGTCACATATATTAATACAAAGAGTTATATTTTACGTTGAATAAACCCTCTTTAAATGAGTTGTGTGTACAGTAAAACCAGTCCAGGCTATATAAACATCTGTCTGAAGGTTTTTACGGACTGCTGTATCTTTTAAGTGTTTGCATGACTGGTAAATCCCTAAATGACTACCTAATTGATCGGCATGCAGATAGACAGGTTCATTACTCTTCTTAAAAGTTATGAAAATGTCACAGTGACATCTTTGTGTGTACAGTTGCTTTGTGGTTTTCAGTTCAGTGTAAGTGTTGTGGACAAATTGCTGATGTTTGAGAAAATTAGAATTTAATTTAGTTTTATGTGCACAAAGTATATGATGCATAATGTCTCAAATTACCATTGCAAAGGGAAGATAGATGCAGAAAACTGTTTTTATTGTAGATATCAGCTATATAACTCAAGGAGATAATTGCATTGCGTAGAAATTTAGTTGCATAACTCACAATAGCATTTTATATTTAATGTTGTAGGGAATAAAGTGGTGTTTCTTAATGAAAGTTTCACTATTACTGCTCTTATTTAACAAAGCCTGGGTCTAGTAAGTGTTACCCCGGTTAGCCGCCTTGTATTGTGTTGCACGGTCTGAAAATAGGAAATGGTCATCGTAGCTCAGGACTACAGCTCTGTTCCTGAGCATGCTTGGTGTCTTGAGTCTGTGTCAATATTGATCGTATGTGAAGTGCATGCTGGGATCCACACAAAAATCTCTTGATTTCGTTCTCATCCAAAGCCGGTTCACAAAAATGCAGACTGTAGGAATGAACGGGAAAAAAATAAAGGAAAGCTTTCAATGCTTTTCAACCCCCAAAATAGTTCTATTGCTTTGCTGTGAGTTTGTTATGGTTTGCTAATGACAGATTGTGAGTGCCATAGCTTTGTTTCTGCCAGAGAGTTTATGGGTCTTTTTTTAGCGAGGTCATTTTCGGGTGATAATAGCAGTTTAACATTGCCTCTTGATTCTGACGGAGAGGTTTATCAATAATGACATTTTGCTTTTTTTTGTTGTTTTATTTTTCTGTGAAGGCCTCTTGTTACATTTATGAGAAAAAGTGACAGCTGTGATTGGCAGAAATTGAGTAAACAATGTTTCTGACATTACAAGATGCATTTAATGATATATATGATATTTAGTATATATAAACCTATTCTAACTTCTTACGTCTGCATTGTACAATACTGATATACCAGCATAATAATACAACTATGTAGATTTTTACAATATTGTATTTCATACTTTTTTTTCTTCCAGAGAACTTAACTTAACTTAAAGGGATAGTTCACCCAAAAAGGAAAATTCTGTCATTAATTACTCACCCTCATGTCGTTTCAAACCCGTAAGACCTTTGTTCATCTTCGGAACACAAATTAAAATACTTTTGATGAAATCCGAGAGCTTTCTGACCCTGCATAGACAGCAGTGCAACTGAAATGTACCCAGGCACAGAAACGTAGTAAAGACATCGTTAAAATAATCCATGTGACATCAGTGGTTCAACCGTAATGTCATGACGCTACGAGAATACTTTTTTCCCTCGATGAAAACAAAAATGGTGAACTATCCCTTTAAATCTTTACAATACAAAACAGTAAAATTGAACAAATTGCCCTGTAAAAATCTAATATAATTTTTCATTTTAAGTAACCTACAGAGAAATAATTAACACTTTCTTTTTAATGGTGACTTTTTCCAGTGTAGGCATCTTTACACAGCTGAGTTAAGGCTGCTCTGTGCCTGCTTAAAATCTAGTTTAAAGATGCAATGTCATATAAAATCCAGACTAAATTATGCCAGCTCTGACCCACTTCAGCCCCTAGTATTATAGTATACAGTTGTGATTGCTGTGAACATGCATTTATGCCACCTCTGAGCAGCATTAAACAGTCTGTGGAAAGACACCTGAATGCCGCTTTAGAAGCGCTTCTGTGCCACCTTTGCAATGTAAATGAGGCACTACAGCGTTACATGGTAAATAACTTACAGCTGAGCAATAACAGGTTTTTCAGAAAGCATTTTAACCTTTTTCAGTTAAAAAGTACTAACATTTCTTACAGTGTGTGAAGTCATTTTAATCAGTCACAGATCTGAATGCTCCACCTGTGGTGTAATCTAAAAATGCGTCATTGAAATGATCTGTTGGCTGTTCGTCTTGAATAATTCATAGTCAAGCAGCTATTGTTGAGAGTGTTTGTAAGTCTCTGCTGACTTGACGTGATATTTGACCTCAGATATTTCCTCGTCTGATTGCTTTGGCTGTGTTGTCCTGTGAACTGTGCCAAATGTACTGGTCTCCTGCTAAGGAACGCTGTCTTCCCTCAGCTGAGAAGACTCAGAACAGGTGTCCTCCCTCGGAGAGCGATTACAAGGCCTTCTGGACCACTGTCAATTCAGCGTCACCAGCAGTGCGGACAGCACCATTGTCCCC